GGATCACAGAGAGTGGCTGGACCGCAGAAGACCGGGAGGGAAAGTAAATTGTTTAGAAGCCTCCGGTTGCTAATGGGAACGGAGGCACGTGGTCTGCAGTTATGCACTTTCATTGGTCCTCAAGATCACGCGACAGAAAGTGCCTTATGAGTTTAGGCCTCCACATGCGCATTGGCTTCTAGAACCGGAAGTCCTTCCCTTTCCTGCCACGTTCCCTGAGAGAGGGGACCGCCGTTACCAATAGTAACGGGAGGGCGTGGCCGCTGGGTAAGCCCGCCCCTGAGCGCCTCGGGGTGTTAGTGTCTGGATCGTTGGGGAGGTCAGGTCCTGCGTTTCTTGCGACAGGGGCGCTCCACACTTTCGTGCCCCGAGGGAAGATTCCAGATCTTTCAGAGGTCTCCCGGGTGTCCGGCGGGCGTGGCCCAGACTTTCAAAAGTTCGTACCTTAGAGTCAAGGTGGCCAACACCACCAACACTACCAGGTTCCCAGATGGAACTTTTAATGACCGCTCTCCCCTACTCCGCCCATCATTACGATTACTGTTATTTTTTCTTACAGATTCTCTAGCGCCTTTTCATTTGAAAATAAAATGCAAGAAGCATTGGGTTTTTCAAAGAGCAATGAATTTCAAAAATATTCTTTATGCCTAGAAACACTGGGGAAACTTGTTGAGCAAATTCCCTGGCCTTGCTCTCGGAAATTTGGAGTTCCGCAGTCTAGCTTGAGTCTTTGGAATCTGTAGAAACACTGTCCCAGAAAGGCCAAAAGGTTAGAACAAGATAGATTATTGTAAAAACCAGGGGCCCAGAGTCCTTCACTCAGATGATCCAGAGTTACTCTGCAGGCAAGTGCCCACGAAAGGGTCTTAAGCCACAGGAACAATAACGGTAGACAGAATTCTCTTGTGTGTAACCTGGAGCACTCCAGGGGATGGAAGGATAGTCTGGAGTTACTGGCTTGGCTATGCTCAACTTCACCTTGGGCCAGGCTCCCTGCCCTTGGTCTTCAGTGGCATCTGAACAGAATCTCTTTCTTCTGCAAGGTCCATAAGGGTGGATTCTCTCAGTTCTGCCCAGGGACTGCCTTAAAGCTCGGTAAAATTTCTGCTTTACCATGCCACCGCTCACATTTTTGTTCATTGTTTGTTGAATTTGATAACGGTTACCATTATTTAGTGCCTGCTGTGGGCTAGATACATTCCAGTCCAATAGTAAATCCTCACAATAGTGGGTTTTCTTTTCAGGGACATTCGTTATAGTCACATAATGAGAAGGTCACTTTACTAGGTATTGTGAATGCACCATAAATAAGGGAGTTCACGAAAATGCTTATAATGTAAGTAAACAATGTTGTTCATCAGTTTGCATTGCTGAGACGACGGAAGTTTGTTTTCTCAAAGGGAAACTCCTATGCTTGCTAAGTGTTATTAATTCAGGGGAGCCAAAGGAGTGGGTGTATGATGCAAATATTACATTTGTGAAGATGTTTGTGGCTTGGGGATTTTTAAAGTTATGCAAAACTGCATCAGCTAATTATTTTACTTTAAAAGTCCATTTTAATCTAAAATCTTTTGTACCAAGGAGGTTATAATATCACTGCTAGCCAATCTATCCAACAGAGTTGAATGTTGTTACATAAGCTATCTAAATAGTGTCAGCAAATATCAACATGCATTTTCAGTCTTAAATTGATGAAATTGGCTCATGAAAAGGCTGAACTTGTACTTCAGCTTGTTTACTGGCTTGAGTTGACCACTAAAGCAAACAATTCTAGCTGTGAGGGAGAACAGTTCCACCCTACTTTATGTGAGCTTTTTAGGCTTCCTATTATTTTTTTAGTTGCTGTGACAGTTTTTAAAATATGTGTGTGTGTGTGTGTGTATAAATTTGGAGTGATTACATGGGAGGCACACAAACAAGGCCATTTTGTCTATCTTTTAGCACAGTTCACTGTGAATAAAGTGAAGATGACTTGTTTGCACATTATTACAGAGTGAGACTTTCATGAATTTAGAAGTTACCAATTGTGATACTAAGACCAGCACTTCAACGGTGTTTGCAACCTTGTCTTGGCAAAAGGAGAATTGGGTAGGTAGTCATGATCTTCTTAGGGATGTGGACACATTCACTCAGTCTGCCACTATGTACAGAACCTCTGTTGTGTGCAAGGTTTGTGGCCATGATTGTGAATCCGAGGGGAGACGTGGAAGGACTCAGAAATCCCTGGTTGCCCGTACTCTATAGGTCTTTGGGTGATGTGGGGGGCCTAAGGTGAGGTTTTACTTAAAAGATGAGATAGCAAAATGATTAAGTAAAACATAATATAGGTGATATACAGAAAATGTAAAAATCTTGAAGGTTATGTGGGAAAGAGGAAAGTTTGAGAAACACTGAACTGGTAGTAGGTGT